ACATGGCCAAGCGCATATAGCCTCTGTCAGGAAAGTCCTATTCACTGCCTTCTCGTGGCACTATTGTTGTTTACAAAATTGAGGGGACGAAAAGCGAATGTCAGGCGCATTAACCGGGTTGATGGACACGGAAAGTTCACCTAGGGGAGTTGTAAAACCACCATTCCAAACCAATACTGCACATGGGCTCCAGTATCCTGACAGAACAAATGGCGTATGAACCAATCATTGGTCACCGGCTACCATGGAACTGCATCTCCTTACGATGCTCCATTGCCTTGTGGTTCAGATCTTTAAATCAAAGACTTCGGGTTTGACCCCCTAATAAAACCACCTGCTTCGATTTTGGCACCTTGGCAGTATCACAGCCCTCACACAAATTAAATGAGATTTGTGTGGCGCATATATATCTGGTGCCCCTTTGTACCAATATTTATGTGTTTAAATAAATATATAAATATAACTAAACAACATTACTGAGGTAATTCGCGCAGGATGCACATATCTCAAAGGAAACTGATCAATTCAAATCTTTTACATAAACAACATAAAGATACAAACAATGACAAGTTAATGATTTGGTTACATAAATCTTTTTTTCAAAGTACTTTATAAGTCGATCTAAGGTCGAGAAAAAAAGTGTGTAAGTATTACCGAAAGTGAGGACTAATAACCACCACAAAAAAAAATCAAAATATTCTTTGTTATCTTATGTAAATACTAAAATTATCACGCTTGGACTTCATCATTATTATCAATCAAACGATTATATGAAAATGAACAAAACATAATAGTACTACTGTTAATACTACTTATATTACTACTCATACTAATACTAACATTAATAATAATACATACTAATAAAATTTAAAATCATTTGAATGCATACATGTGATTGTTATGAATAAATAGTTGTGAAACTTTGGAATTAATTAAATTTGCATAACATATAATTGTACACATGGTAATGATAGTTCAAATGTATGTAAAGATACAAAACCCTCGCACTCTATCGAAGTAAGTTTCGAATTAACTTCATAATACAATGTTATAAATTCCACATTATTGTTATTATTGTCTTTGTCTTACTTGCGCCGACTAGTCTTCTATATAACCTGGATACTAATCATTATAAAAATTGGTAAACTGTTGTTTTTATATCTTAGCTAAAAGTGAAATCTATTGGAAAAAGAAAACTACCGAGTTTCTATGAGAGGTAAACATCTGTATACCTTGTGATAATATAGAATTTTTCACTATGGTATTTTATTGACATTTCTAATGTCATAAATATGTAAATTACTAATTACTAAGTGTAAATTTTAATAGGTTATCACAATCGGTAATGACAAAGACATTTACAATGGATCCTGTAAAGATAGGTTTCCAGATAGTTTAAATATTGGATTTCCGCTTAAAATACTAACCTGAATTACTCTTCAAGAAGTAAACGTTCTGAACTCGATCATGAACACAGCTTTTCTTGTATCTAAGCTAAGTCCAATCTAATTTTTTTTTAAATAAGTACTTTCCTCTGTTTTATTAAGTATTTAATAGACAAGAAAGTTTGTTCTACAAACTTCCTTCAAGGATTCCAATTTAAGTTTGCTTAAAACGAGTTTTATGCACATTGAAAGTGTCTGAATATTTCTATTTCATTTTCAGTACTTCAAAGATAAAGTGTAATCTGTTGTTTAATTTTACAACGGCTAGACATTTGTATAGTATTGTGAGGAGTTTGAATCTTTGAAAAAAAGCGGGATTGAACAAAAAATAAAGAAAATTCAGCGATGAAAATTTTCTTTTCGACGCAGTCATTTACTTAATCTGTACATTCGTATTTATAGGTAAATATATGTCTATACAAGGATAGAAAAGATCGCATAATAAATTAGTTCGAGACTCTTATTATCAAATGAGGTTACGCAATAATCAAGGGGTAAGAGAAGAATATAAGGCTGGAAATAATTTACAAGTTAGAATTATAAAAGTTAATTGTTCACTTGACAGATATGAATAAAAGTGGAAAACATAAAGACCATAATAATAAGAACTGAATGATAATCATGAAAACTTGTTTAAGGTTAGCAGAAAATGATTACAGTTTAAAATTACATTATTTATATTTATTTATTTATTTAAACACATAAATATTGGTACAAAGGGTCACCGAATACATATGCTCCGCATAAGTCACTTGGTTTGTGTGTGAGCTATGATACTGTCCGGGTGCCTAAACACTAATTTCAACAAACCAAATAATAATAGAAAAGGAAGTTGGTTGTTCTTCTCTTCTTTGCGCGTATGAGAAATATACTTCTGACTTGTATTGAGTTCTTTTAACAAACGGTTCACGTCTTCATATTTATCCCCTATAATTATAACGTCATTAACGTATCGTCTATACAGACACATCTTTTGAATTGAGTCTTCAGCTAAATTTTCAACATACCCCATAAGCATATCAGCCAGCAACAGTCCTAAAGGGCTACCCATAGCTATGCCATCAATTTGTCGAAAGTGCTCACCTTGAAATGCGAATTTTACATTGTCAGTGCACAATAATAATAGATCTTTCAGAGTTTCAACAGGAAATGTCAATGGAAGGTTATTCAATGAAATATAGTCACATAAAATACCAATAATTTTCCCAAGAGGTACATTTGTAAATAAAGTGTTCACATCAAAAGAGCACATTGTCTTTGTTTTTATATTCATATCCTTTAGGTATTTAATTAATTCAAATGAGTCAATCAAGGAATACTTACAAAATTGGTTTCGGATAGGGTTTAATACTTTTGTAAGCCATTTTGCAAGTTTGTGTGTAGGTGACCGACACATTGATAGGATTGGACGTAAGGGGATATTAGGCTTATGAATTTTTGGTAATCCATATAAATTAGGATACCCATAGGTTTGAATAAATTAAACTCATCCTTGTTAATAGCGTTCATGTTTAACAATTTCGTTAGATTCGAGTTTAATTTCTTTCCTAATTTACGTAATCCATCGGAGTAAACATCAGTCATAAATTTGCTTTTATCATTGAGAATGGATTCCATTTTATTTTTGTAATCGGACTTATTCATAATAACAACACCAGATCCTTTATCAGGTTTAAGTATAATAATATTGGCACTGTTTCGCAATTCTCTTAATGAATAAATAATAATAATAATAAACCAAAACATATTACAAAAAGGAGTTAGGGTCAAGGAAGGATGTCAGGTTGGAAGTATCATTTATGCACGCAAAGTTCGGGCTTGAACAAGTAAATTCATAGATGCACATTGATGTAGCCCAAAGCCGAAGTTCATCCTTAACACATCCAAGAATGGTAGGCCAGCTTGAGAAACAATTTGGAGCTTTGATGAGTAGAACGTTTTATTCAGTGATTTTGAAATCTTTTTATTCAAGATTTCAGAAGCTGTATCTCCTTTAAATTCCATATTCATTAAAAGAGTTTTCTTTTAAACTGTTGGTGCTTCTTCCAGATGATGTCTAGGTATTAAGTTCCTATCGACGAACCTGGGTGGATAACCATTCCTAATAAGTGCCTGTCGAAGTTGAAGTAGTTCATCATCTATTGTGTCAGTAGAACTTATTGGTCTGATTTTTGAGGATAAAATTCCTCTTTATACTCAGTTATTATTACCACTAAAATAGTTTTCATGATTATCATTCAGTTCTTATTATTATGGTCTTTATGTTTCCCACTTTTATTCATATCTGTCAAGTGAACAATTAACTTTTATAATTCTAACTTGTAAATTATTTCCAGCCTTATATTCTTCTCTTACCCCTTGATTATTGCGTAACCTCATTTGATAATAAGAGTCTCGAACTAATTTATTATGCGATCTTTTCTATCCTTGTATAGACATATATTTACCTATAAATACGAATGTACAGATTAAGTAAATGACTGCGTCGCAAAGTAAAAGCCTAAATTATAGGTTATTCATTACATCAATATAGTATAAATATGGGCCTAATTGTAATGTTCATGTATACGGACGTTCAGAAACCCCTATCACTACTACTCATAATCAATGTTGATAGTAGTGTATGTTAATGATCATATCTAGTTTTTACTTATATCCAAAATGTTTAACATTTTCAGTTACTGATTGGAGATAAATTAAAATTAAACAATTATGAAAAGTTACTAATCTATTAAGAATATTTCCACAGTTAATGTCAAATTATTGCGGTGAAACGATGGAAAAGATTTGTAGCTCAGGTGGATTATTTCGATGGCGTTTCGTCCTTTAGGCTGGATGGTTTAACTGTGAAGTTCTTTTTAATGTTCTTCTAAACAACATCATCAGCACAAACTTCAAGACTTTTACCTGAAGTTTATGCTGATCATGTTATTCAAAAGAGCAATAAGAAAAGCTTCAATATTAAACCATCCAGCTCAGAACAGATCTCCACGAAAATTATTACTGTATTCCATAAATTTTTAGTTTATACTTTTTGAAGAAGGAAAATATTGGACGGTCGTAAATTCACTTAGTATTGTTTGTCTGAATCTTACCATTGATGTTTAAAACTACAATTGATCAGTCTCTTATTGGCATGTGTGAATACTGTGCGTATTGCCTCGATATAGTCTTAATTCACAAGCTATCAGGATTCGGTAGCTGAGTGGATAACGCGAAGGCGTTTGAAGCGAAAGGTACTAAATTCGAGTCCCAGGATGAACATCAACTCTGAGATGCAGGTACATCCAGTTGACGAGTCCTAAATAGGACCGAACGCGCGTCCTGGATTCCACTGCTAGCCACTATCTATCTTTGCTTATAATGTTTGGACGGTTTTGTTTATAGATTTCATACATAATAACAGCCATCATAAAGACATATTTCTTTTAACGTATATCGTACTCTCACAACAATCACAAACTTTAGCGACAACGTAGTTCAGTGCTTAGTAATTCAGTAATATGTAAGATTATTTCAACAACAATCAAGTACACCGAATTCACCATAACTAACCTTCTCAATCCAATCTGACCAATCATGTATAATCTTTTCCATTTGATTTATTTGACATAAATATATTTCATCCAGATTAATCTTTGATGAGAATACTTGAAATTGTTGAAGAAAATAAATTATCCATAATTTCAAATATCCTCCTTCATTAATTACTTCATTAGTATATTCTAATAAACCATCCCATGAATTAATCCAATTAATTTGATCTAATTTTTGACAAAATTCCTTCATTTCCATAGCTTGATTAGTTCTAGCTATCACTAAACAATTTAAATCATGATCAGGTATTTCAGCTCTATTTGTTATTTTCAATCTATCATCTTCTAAGATTTTATAATAAAGATTTTTTAATTGTTCAAGTTGATTTTCACATTGAATTTTGATTGTTGCCAATTTTGAATTAGAATCATATTCATGCAATTTAATAGATAATGATTTCATTTGTAATCTAATTGTTTCTAAACCAAATTGTACTGCTTCTATAAATGCTTGTTTCTGTTTTAACATTTGAATCTGGAATAAGTAAAATGATACAGATAGAAAATGAGTTAATTGGTGGTTTCTACCCTAGTTATATGATTATGAATACAGTGGTCTTGAGTGCTATTAGAAGTATGACGGCAGTTAACACTTACTGATTGCCCACACCAAGGAAGGGTTCTTCTAGAGGTACTTGAAAAGGAAATTAGGTTAGAAGTGGTCTTAATGACCTGAGAGCGTGACCACAGTGCCCAAGGGAAAACTGCTTGAAGTAGGTCACACACGACCTTTTTGTGGGTAATTTTTGTGTTAGCTCTGTACTTGTTGGGACCTTACCGCCGGAGACGGATATCTGTGGGATAAGGCGTGGTGTGCATTTTTATGATCGACCTTTTATAACCCCTCCCATCCTTGTGGGGAAGGTAGCACCGCTGTGATGCTGGTTGTCTGAAGGAAACACCTTACTGCCGCCACACCTCTGTACAGTCAGCAGTAAGACTTCACCTTCGGAGCTTGGGTTTGCTGCTTTTAGTCTTACCGCTCTTCAATCTACCTGCCTGGCATGGTAGGACCTTGAGGAACGATTTTTTCAGCCAGTAAAGCTCGACTGGTTCATCACGATAGGCAAGCCCGACCACCACATCAAGGTAGCAGCAACGATCAAACATGATAGTTTTATTTAGAGGTCATTGGACTATTATTATAACGTATTTACACATACTGTATATATAAAACATATTGTGTAAGTCATATAACACACTTGTGATTGTCTTTTAGCACCAAATGAATGGTTATGAATTGTACTGTATATTACTTAATACTAACAGGTCAAATTGACACAATTTAAAACTAAATGATATAATATTAACTTGTATCTCTATGCTAATACGGTATGGCAACTTGAACTGATGTACGTACGTACGAAGTTCTACGTTGTTTATGACTGACTTACTGATAGAATCTACCGAAGTCCATCAACATTTCAACAAGTGGTGTTGGAAAAATTATCGTGGATAGGGTATTAATGATTAATACACCAAACAAACACAATATTAATTGTTACACAACTGAAGGGAAGGATTGATACATGAGATTGTTTGTCAAACTTGACCGGTGAATGATTATAACTACTATAAATGAGTAGATCAATAATTATATAGATATTATGAAGACAATATTTCTTCTCAATTTAAAATTATTAACTTACTGCTTCGGAACGTAATTCAGTTGGTATTAATGCTCTCAATGGATATCTTTCAGATTCAATAACACCTCCAGCACGAATAACCCGTTCTAATGATTGACGAATAACAGAATAACCATAACTCCATGTAGTGAACAATCGAAGCATATCTTTTACAGCATTCGATTCATATTGGTTTAAATTAGAAAGGCTTATTTTATGCAAAAGACTTAAAGATTGATTACATAGCAGATAATTACGTTCGCATAAATTACGTAAATGCTTTAACTGTTGTAACATGATACGTAACTGATCAGATTGATGTGAAATATTAAATGTATTATCAATTAATTCTAAAGAAAATACACGATAGTGATCAGGAATATAATGTAAACTATATTCCAATTGTTTTAAAAGTAATGTAATTAGACTATGATTTGAATCATGTAACGTAGAATTGGTATTATCCATGGATAATATAGTAAAGTTTTCAATGTATATATTTAAATATCGTTTCAATTCTTGTAATGTTTGAGTAAATTTCTTACTATTCAAAGAGGATGTTGTTTCGAGTTGAACAATACACTTCTCTTGAATTATATCTGCATCGCATAATAAAGACCAAAGTATAGCAAAATGAAATTCTTTATCTAAAAATTGATATTTTTTTGTTTGTTGGTTATTCTGAGAAGGTAAAGATCCTGAATTAGGAATTAGATTTTGAAACCTAAAAATTAAAAAAAAATAATTAAAATTGATGTTACTACAATCCATTGATTATGATCACATTAAAATCGATAATGTTAATCACGGCAGAAATTATTCCTATACACATGTACACATTCCATGTATATATCCCTGGTGTTTTAGATTGTAGCTGTAAATAATTCCACAAAATCAATAGCTCTTTAAGTATTCGACATTGGATGCTGACCACATTGTTTTAAGTGGACATTTTTAACTGAATGTGTTCGGTCATTCATCCGCACCAGATCACTTTACGACTCAGCGTGGGGAACAGCTCCTACGTTCATTAGCCAGATTAGAGCAACCGCTTCTCGATATATTGATGACGCATCAAATATATCTTTCCTACCTCTTCGCATCTGACTTCTGATTTTAACCCAGTGGGGGACGATTCGAATATAGGTGTTACTGGTTAATAGTTGTCAAACTAAAATACTGGTCGTATCTTCAAGATATTTTGGTGTAACTGTTTCCTTGACATGAACATTTGATGTTAAACATTTGATAACACCTTAGGTTATGGTTAGAAGGAACGAGAATGTACAATGAAGAGCGAGTACTAGTGTATTATGACGTTAACATGCCCATATCTCAGAAAGATACATTAAACTCTACATGGTATTTATAAACTTAAAGTAGTAATTTTCAGTTATTGACAGAGAATTCAATTCTCTGTAACTTATACTAGTGTTTGGAAATATATATATTCCATACATGCAAAAAGTAATAACTCGGCCATTATCTGTTTCAGTGCAGTATTGAATAGCATATGTCCGACTTTTCAAGAAAGCATGGGTTTCTACAAAGTTCAAAGTATAACTTGGTAATGAAAGCAGAAAAAAGTACATCATCTTACATGATTTAATGGTCAAGCTAATCAATAAACTAGATAGAATGATATTGATAATGAATCACTGTTGAACTTTATAAGCATTAAGGACCTATTGACCTGAAAGTTTATCCACAAGTCAATTAAAAATGTTTTAGCTTCATTAGTTCTTGCCATTACAATCCATCTTACAAAAAAAGATGACCGGATAACTAAGATACAACAGTTATTAACTTTTATTCTGGTTCAGTTGATGAAAACTAACTTCAAGTTGAACGATCCCTATAAACCCCGAATATGATTAGTGATTATGTCATCACTAGTGATGATCTTTGAAAATGATTCCAGAATTAGAAGTGAAAAGCTGTGAACGATAGAGTACAGATATTTAGAGACTGGGATAGCTAAAACCAGTGACAACGAATGATGTTTACACTATATAACAAGTTGACTGAAGTTGGAAAATAGATCTTGGGATTGTAACTCAATGGTTTTAAGATAATACTCAAACAGTGTTGCCTGAAGGTTCCGAATCCCATCGCATATATGATTGTGAAGGAGCTGTACTGAAGATTCTCATATTATTACGAAGCAGCTATCTACTGGTTCCTGGTTCCCAATGGCTCGCATTACAAACTAACTTTAAACTAAAAAGATTGGAAAAGGATAAACTTTCACTTCATTTTTCTCAATCCAGAGTTTTAATTAATATTATGAATCGATTAAAGTTAAACATCCACTGAAAACCTGGAAGCACTGAGTAGTCATTACATCCTGATGTGGGAAATCTAAGCAGTGCACATACACGATCCAACATGTGAGACTCCAACCCAAGACTTTCAGTCCCACACGAACATTAAACCTCAAGACCACTGAGCCGGGATCCAATGGTGTTAATGTCTAACTTCAACCAATCCGCAACGTTGCGTGACCATCTTTCATTGTCTTCAAAGGGTAACTGCCTCACAATCGATATGATTGAACTTAACTGGTGACGACTTTGCCTTAGAACTGCAAGAATTACCTCTCTAAGCTAGTTACTAGTGAGTAAATGATTTGGGATTATCTCTGTAGATAACTCGACTGAATTTCAATCAGTAGGTACATTCTAAGAGGGTATCCTCAGTATTAATACATAACCATTAGTATTCATGTAAATAAGTATAGTGGTTAACAGTGGATCTAAGACGCGAGTTTTGTCACATTTGAGACTCGTCAGCTGCATGTACCTTGAATGACATGGCTCAAAACCGTTTGCAATGGCGAAGGTGCATCCACTCTTTGTGTTCTCCCGAATTCTAATCTTCTGAATTCTTCATGTCATTATCTTTTTTTTCTTTCCAAATTTATTTCATTGGATTATACTCTTTGAATAATACCTTCAAACCCTAATCTTTCGGATTACTGCTTATAGTCTTACTACTTCTACCACTATGGGATTTTAATCGACAAATATATCTCTGTACTAATGTGGTATGGGGACTCGAACTGATGTACATACGTATGAAGTTCTACGTTGTGACTGACTGACTGACCTGCTCACTTCGAGATCCAGATAAAATATTAACTAGCACAAACTAAACTAAAATTCATATTCGTTGTGCAAATGAATACCAATCTAAATTCAGTAGCTAAATTGAATAACATATTAGGCGTTTAAATTAAAAAGTACTAGTTGTAAAACCTGGAGTAGACATTAATTCTGGGTTGTAGGTTCATCCAACTGATAATTTCCGAAAAAAATGAAACACCAGTCCTAGATTCTATTCCTAGTCCCACATTCCATTTACAAATTCTTTAAGCAGTCAATTCACCAGAAATATTCATCGATATATACATATACATACATATTGACTAGTATTGGCAATGGTTGAAAGAGAGTGAGGGGCGGCCAAACCAAAACGTGGCATCAGTGCTTGAAGTCACTAACTTCTGGTCTGAGCAATGTTGGCAGGTGCAGACTACTTGGTTGAGGTCCACGTGATCATCGTAACCAATGGTTGGAGACTCTAGGTGACATGGCTCATAATCGATCACAATGGCGCAGATGTATACACTCTTTATCTTCCCTTAAACCTTGAGATTAAAATTGCTTTATAACGTTCTTCCTTCCTATACTATATCCTTATATACAACCTATCTTTTATATACTACCACCACTAAATTAACTACTTCATCTTGTTGTGCTAACGAGGTATGACAACTTGGACTGATGCACATATGTGCCTGCTCCTACGTTGCAGCTGACTGACTGACTGACATATCAACATAATGAATGCTATGGATAAACTAAGCATTTTAACGATTATATCAATGTGTGAGGAATTCATTAATTTATTGTAAACCTATATTTATATCATAATTCAAATTATTCGTGGTTTTACGTCATAGTAAATATGAATTCAATACTGAGAAATGATAAAAGACAATATTATCACTTCATAATAGAAGTAAATTAATCTACAGATCTAATACATAACAGAGTTAAGTATGACATAAAATTCCTTTGCATTATTATTGTATACCCTAGTAAAAGATCCTACCAATTTGTGATTAGATGCCTTAAAGAAAGCATTTTATTTAAATGTTGTAGGTGGTACCTGAATTCGAGAAAATACAATGAGATTAACTTGTTTATTTTCTAAATATACCGAATTTTTCGCTAATTTTAAATTTTCGAAAATAATAGAATAAATTCTTTCTTAAACAATGTGATACATCAAGTTATCAAGGAAGATATCATGAATTAGAGTAAATTGTAACACGCAACAATGTAATACACTTTTTTTTTCTTCAAATATTCTTGGAATGAATCACTCGAAGTGTAGTTTAATAAACCAATTGAAAAAAAATAATCTTTCTTTTTCTCTGATGATTTTAAATGTCTTTTAAACTTAACTACTCCAGGTTTATAATACTAAGTAAATGTCTGTGTTTAAAAACGTTATTCTGATGGTCCGCACAGTATGCGTTACTTGTTACCACTCTGGCTGTATGAGAAGATTAGAGGGGAAAAAAGACTTCCTATTATACATCTAAATAAATTAAAGGCTAGTTTATATGAGAGATTAAAGTAAGATGGTGAACCATTGAAAACCAGACATGGAATTGGACAAGTGTATCTAAGATGTCTTAACAGAAACCTTGCAAGCCACGATGGATCAAACCAAAGACATTCAGGTTTCATGGCAAAAACTATTTGCATATATTGGTGAGTTAGAGCTCGACGAACCTAATTTCCAACTTTAGACCATCATTTATTGATGGCAGTAACGATTGTCTAACTTCCTCCTATCTTAGTAAAGAAATAAAAATATCAACGACATGGTGAAACCATAACTGATTACCAGTAATATATTTCAACTAAAATAAAAAAAGTCAACTTTTCCAGGTCAATATTGGAGTGACATTAAATCGATTGATTGATTGATTGATAAGGCAACCAAATCAATAACTTTCAGTGAAAACTATTAACTAACAACGATTTAATAGACAAAAACAAAATCAATCGGCTATTTGAATTCAATAATACAATGTCATTAATACAGAAACATTTAAATCGACTATTGAATTCATTTACAGTTATAGACAAAACAAGGTTAAAATTAACTTAGCGCATACAGTGATTCCTTTAAGAGGCATTACTCTACCATATATTTCTTTTTGAATCAATTAAAAACAAAAATAGAAGTTCAAGATAGGAATAAATTCATTTAAGATATCTGCCAAAAGGGAACGAATATTTTAGAAAATGTAAATTTCAGAACTCTATTGAGATGTCGTTTGAAGCGAAAAGTACTGGGTTCGAGTCCAAGAGTGAACATCAAGTTTGAGATGCAAGTACATCCAGCTCACCAGTCCCAAATAGGACAAAACGCGCGTCAAACTGGATTCCACTACTAGCCACTATCCATCTTCGCTTATAATGCTTGTGAATTAAGGCACATATGCCAATAAGAGACTGACCAGTTGCACTACTAAACAAACAATACTAAGCAAAAGGTTATTGTGTACATTTTTGTGGTATAATTGCTAAATATTTAGACTGTTGTATCTTCATATTTTCCTACTTGTTCATTTTTATTTGATGAATAAACTATTATTGTATGTTGTAAATTTCTCGGGTTGTGGTCTATACTGGTTTTTGAGAGAATGAGCGTGAAGGAACTACATTCTGGACCAACATGCATTAAGTTTAGTCTTCAACAATTATCTCACTATGAACGAGTCAGTGGTTAACAGGAGGTCATTGATTCTATGGAGGCAGTCCAGGAAAATTATGCAGTATGTTCATTTATTTACGGGTAGAATACACCGGTCCCAATACGACAAAAGAAATCCATTCCTTTTACTGTCATATCATTATCATAGTCATAGCTGTCAATTTCAAGTAGTCAAAAATTACAAAGAGTTCTAAATGCGTGAATATGGATCACAAATACTAAAGACGACCAATCATAGTACAAGACGATATTTGTTCTCACGGTTCTAGTGAGAATCCGTGACCAGTGGAGCTAATCCGTTTCAGGTAGAGACAGGTATCTACCTCAGACAATGGAAGATGGTAGCGCAATTTCGTAGATTGTTTGAAGTTAGACATTAACACCGTTGGATACCGGCCCAGTAGTCTAGACGTTTAGCGTTGGCACGCGACACCAAAGGTACTGGGTTTGAATCCCGTGTGCGAGATCGCGGATGCTCATTGCTGAGGAGTTTCATGCTGGGACGAAACAGCCGTTCAGTGCTTCTAAGTTTTCAATGATGGTCTAATATCGATAGATTCATGATCTCAACCAAAAACTTAACAATCTCCACAACCCAATACTGATAAATCTACTAATAACAAACATAATATTAAGTGGCTATCAGGACTCAGTGGCCGAGTGGATAACGCGATGGCGTTTGAAGCGAGGGTACTGGGTTCGAGTCCCAGAGTGAACATCAACTCTGAGATGCAGGTACATCCAGCTGACGAGTCCCAAATAGGACGAAACGCGCGTCCTGGATTCCACTGCTAGCCACTATCCATCTCTGCTTACCATGCTTGTGAATTAAGGTATATCGAGGCAATACGCACAGTATGCACATATGCCAATTAGAGACTGACCAGTTGCAGTCCTAAACACATCGATGGGAAGATCCAAACAAACAATACTAAGTGAATTCAAACATAATATTAGTTTAAAAATGAAATTCGAAATAAATAACAATTAATCCAATTTAAAAGTGATTCGGATTATCTCTCCAATGATATTTTGACTGAAATTTGATCAGTCATGGCTGGCATTTGTGCATCCTGTATGAATCGCCTCGATATAACCATTATAAAATAAGCTAACATAGAATAGATCTGGTAAGTAGTGGCATGGAGGATGCGCATTTCGTTTTATTTGGGACTTGTCAACTGGATGTACCTGCACTCAAGCCATTTTGAGTTGAATAAAATCTTATACTCTTTGAACAACTTTTAAGCATAAGGTATATTCGTCTTGATTATAATTTGTAGCTTTCCCCATTACTCAGTGTTTACTCAGCTAGCTTTTCACTATTATCCTGTTTTGAACATATTCTTAAAGATAAATTTCAAGGTACTGTAAAAGTAGGCGCTCAATATGTTATTTTGAATGAAAATGGATGCTCCGCAATTAAACTATCTAGCTCAGAGAACTCATTATGAACAATAGTTGAGAGTATATGACAAACTGCTTTTAAAAAAAATAAAAAGAAGCTTCCTTCAAATTATTTAGGGTAATAAAACAGTAGATTGTTAGATCAGGTGATCTGTCATAAACTGAAAACAACAGACAACCCGATGACACAAGGATAAAATGATTCAAACTATATTCATGCTTTTATTTTGATCATTAAAAAAAAACTTGAAGCAACCACCAATCAACCGTTAAATTATCGGTTAAAGTATATTAATCACAACAAATACAAATTATAGTTGAAAGCGTGAGTCAATTAAAGCTAGACCACCATGGAGAACCTGGAAACACTGGACGGCCGTTTCGTCCTATTATGGGACCCCTCAACAGTGCGCATCTACGAACCCGCTCTCGCGAGATTCGAACCCAGGACCTACTAGTCTCGAGCCGAAGCCCTTAACCGATAGACCACTGAGCTGGCATCCAACGGTGTTAATGTGTAACTTCAACTGATCCACGAAGTTGAGCAACCATTCACCAGCTCAGTGGTCTATTGGTTAAGGGTTTCGGCTCGAAACTGGTAGGTCCTAGGTTCGAATCTCGCGAGAGCGGGTTCGTGGATGCGCACTGCTGAGAAGTCCCATAATAGGACGAAACGGCCGTCCAGTGTTTCCAGGTTTTCCATGGTGGTCTAGCTTCAATTGACTCACGCTTTCAACTATGATAAATACTAAATCTCCACAAAACCCCTTCTAAATTACAAATTAATCTAATCTTAAAAGTACCTTTAATTACTCTAAACACTACTTAATATTTATTTTGCGTTTTTTACAGAAACATTGTTTCAAGACATTTTAGGGCACGTATTGTTTATCGATTACATAATAAATGGCTACTGAGAAAAAAGATTTGGAAAAATTCTAAAAGCAACCTGATATGATACACCTTTGTAACCAGGCTATACTGGACCACACAGTTTCAAGATCACTGATAAAATCGTTAATGAGAACATAAATGGAACTGGTAACACAAAGAGAAAGAGGCTAAACCAAATAATCTATATATTATACAATAAAGGTACTGAAAAAAACCTTTATACTCACATTTTACATCCACTAATACAATCTGTAACATAATCACACCAATCATTAATTGTATGAATTTGTACATTGTTGCGGAATTGATGCATTTTCTCATTCCATTGATTAATCACTAACCGATATATCTCTTGTAAATGATAAATCCATGCTTCCAACCAATCAGTTATACCAATATTCTCAGTTTTATTAAAGTATTCATTTGATAGATTATCGATTGCAGCTAATTCAATCCAAATCTGATGACTTAAATGACGAATAGCAAGTTCAAAATTATACAATTCCAATTCTGTCCAACTTTGTGATTGAGAAGCATTTTCTAGCTGATTGAATAGCTCTATGGAGAGTAAAATACAAAACCAAAATAAATGATCAGCCTTCTCGCATGACATAAGTGACGAGACTATAATTTATAGACGAACCAATCATATTTATGATAGCAGGTCTTGAATTTTGGCGCGAAATTCATTCACTCATTTGATTAAATATCATTTTGGCATCATAGCTAATGTCACTTCATGATGAAAACCCTAAATCTAATTCCTAACCCTAATGTTCAACAGTAAATACTAATCTAATTCCTCACACTAATCTATAACGCTTATTTAATCCTAGAAGTATGTAGACATTCCAATGTCATTTTAGCGTTGCTCATAGGTCGTCCATAAATTATATTCTTACAATATACACTTACAGAAATTCTTTTTAGGGAATTTTTCATAGGTGGATTAAAAATTTGTAAAAAATATCAGAGCATCTGATTTGATAATTATATCAATGACTGAGAATCTAGGTTGTATTCATGTTGGTGATTGGATACAGAAATTAATTGTAGAACAATGATCGATGACAGAAGTCTTTTGCCAATTATCTTTTCTTATTAACGACATTGCACTTATAGTCTCTTAAGGTTTTTATAATGTGAGATGATTATCGAAAATCCACGTTACTAACAACAAACTGAGGAGTAGAAACATGTTTAGCTCAGATTCCTAGATCCAATATTATGATTGAACCTGATATTTATGAAATGAGTTGTTATAACGGAATGGATATTATAGAAGTAGAAACTTATTTTCCTAATTGTGCTTAGTTGCAATTTTGTCATATAATTACTGAGTAACTAGTTTACTACGTATATATATCTCATTTATTGTGAGCTCTCAGTTGACTAATTAACACTGCTATATGACTTAGTATTTCTATTTTATTGTCAGTCTACTATCTACAATCTATCCTGTTCACAGTCACTTTTGACTTGTTTATGTATAACTGTTATTATTTTATTCTATGGTGTGGTGTGATCTGGTACGTCTGTATGTAAATCACGTCTGTTTGGAATATAAATACCGTGGAGGCTGGTTTCTACTACTGGATCCAAGGAAAGGTATGTAGAGGAGCTTGGGAATAATTGACCAATAGGAACCTAGTTGTTAGTTTAATAAAGATATTACCGATCTATAGTGTAACTGATCAAACTGGGGACACTACGCTATTGAAGAAACTAGATGTGAAATAGACCAAATTAGAATCAGGATTCTGGGTAGTGAACGTGTACAGACCATAGAATGTTTAATATAGATTTCAAACCTGCTAAATGCAAAAGGATAACGTACGAATGGTTATTTTCAACACCAAACTTAGGAATGAGTGAAGTGGTTTTTTCAGAAATGAATTGACCTTTACGGACTGAGTATTGGTTTTGTGGAGCATAACTGCAATTTTAACCAGTGTTTTTAGTGAAGCATTCAACATTTTATCAAACAGAAAAGAAATAACTAAAATTTTCGCTCAGTACTACAGTATGACCGGCTATAAAACACAATCTTTAAGGACGAAAAAGACAGATGAACTACAAATTTCCGACCGCAATGTCCTATGAAAATATGTACATATTTTCAACTAAAGAGTCACAACAACTACAAGACAAGAGATTCTTTTTAAATATTTACAACAGCTCATCAACAAAATTTATATTCCCAAATAATTTTATTCAAACAAAGAATAAAAAACAAACCTATTAAAGAATTAGACAAATCCCATAATCCACCGGGTCTACGAATAATCTGTTTTAAAAATCCAAGACAAGTATATTGTTCAAATGCACGCGATGAAGCGGATCTCATTTCATTGATTAATTCTTTCCAAGCTTTCTGTTGATTAGAAGTTTTTATTACACAAGAATGACTAGATGTTTGAGACGATGATGATGATGATAATAAGACATGAAGAAAATCAGCTAAAACCCTCAATTCATTGAAATTTTCCTAACAAAATAAAGGGGAAAGCTGATGAAAACTGATGAATACACATGATCTATTCATTAGTAATGAAACAATATTCTGTTCGGGAACTTCAGTCTATAGTAAACAAAATTCAAATGGATGATCAACGAGTAAGATATTCAATTTCCCTTAATTTATAGAAAATGAAAAACAGTTATCTTATAATGCTTGTGAATTAGGGCTATATCGAGGCAATAAGCACAGCATGCACATATACCAATAAGAGACTGACCAGTTGCAGTACTAAACATCAATGGGAAGATTCAAACAAACAATACCAAGTAAATTTAATCTTTAGGAATGTTCATGAAACAATATCCCATTTTCCCAAGATTAATTGAGTTTTTCATTGATTTGCTTATCTCTAACATAAGGCTCCTGATTGATCAATATAGTCTATTTTAAGTCTTTGTTACTATTGAAAATACATCATGAATTCAAGTTTATATATTGTGAACTACAATTAATTACTTAACTGAGTGACTTTGTACAGTTCGATGTACAAAATTGGCTCAAATTTCTATGTGTACATTGGTTATCGTGCAAAAATATCGAGAATAACGTATTTAGCTTAGTTCTACTAATCTCATGAGCTATACATAAAACCCAATGTACTTTAGATCCGTCTCTTTAAGAGCAAGTAATTTGAAGGTTCTTAGTGACTTAGCTTAATCTATAGGTTATTTTTACCACAGATACGTCCATCATCGGTGTTCTAATATGGTAAAGTTATCTAGAACAAAGAAACCTGACTAGATTATATTATTTAAACCAAGTAATTAGTGAAGATGTGACAAACAATGTGCAAACTTTCTCAATTTAAATTGACACAAACTGCAAAAACCAGTGTACATATTCGTATAGTGTATAGTGTATAGTTAACTTTATCCTACTCCATTAAGTTTCATCAGCGAATTATTCAATCTACTAACCGTAGACAATATATTATCACTGATATGCACTTTAACTGACATTCTGATTAAATTTTCACTGAGACGTCTAGCAACTATATGGTGAGTTTTAATCCACTCTATATTTACAATACATAAAAAAGAAAACAACTCAGCTTAAACTAACCTGTAAAATTTCACGTTCTTTATCAATATTATTTATTTGTTCTTGTTGCCAGCTAGTATTCAATAAATTACAATTATTCAACAGTGATAAATGCATGGTAGGATAAGTAAAAGACTGACTAGTAGAATTAGTATGATCACTTTCGTTTATAACCATTGTAACTGACTGTGACTGTGATGGTGTTGCATCACTGACCATAGTAACGAAACATTTCACTTCATTTAAATATGTTGTGAGACATTCTAAATATAATGTATTAAATTTATAAAATTGTTCCCATTTGTGATCATTATCGTCATTATCACCACCATCACCATCGGTTATACCAAAGAATGACTTCTTATTGTTATCTAGTTCATCTTGTTTCTCATTTCTATTAAAATGGTTGGAACTACAGATCTGTATTTGAGTGATTCATGCATATGAATGTTTTTGTTTACGACGGAAATAGTTGTAGATCCAATAAGACAGGATAAAAAACAGAGAAAATGAAACATTGCCATGAATTTTTATTTATTCAAGAGTCGATATGGATTTAACAATCAACAAAATACACTGGAAGAGTAGAAGAACTTTATTGGAATCGAGACATTTACGCAGTACGGAGGCAGCTAAAAAATGTTGTCTTGTTTTTCTCTACGGGTCTTAGTTTGAAATCCACTGTGCTTTCACAACTATTGTGGTGTATACTACTTAAGTTGACATATAAGTAGTATGTAGCAGGATCGCAAGTGGATTCCTTGACAGCAGAAGATTGAGAAGATACAGAAGATACTATTTCTCAAGGCTGTGTAAGTGGTCAACGATCATATTAGCGTCATCATTCAAATTAGTCAAAATACATAATGTAGATCAAAATCTAGTCTACGATTGAGTATTAAAAATCTCTCTTCAATTCAACAATCACTATCTGTACTCTGATTGGTCGTTTCTACTGGCTTCAAGGCCCTCAGTATAGTGTACTTTGAAATAAAAGTCATTTGATAAGCTTAATCATCAGGCAGTTTTCATAATGTTATAATGTCAACCAGAAAATCAATTTATATGTTCTGGCCTACATAGGGTCGTTTGTTTGAATCACTGAGGAAATCAATACTATAAAGAAAACATCTGATCAAGTTTGGTTTTTAAAATTCCTATTCATCTGATATCAGCTTGTTAAAATCAACTTGAAATTAAATAAATCTCTCCACAAGTTACACTTGAATTCTTACCAAATGTGTTATTTATCTTAATGTTTCTGTCAAGAATGTTAATATACAAAGCCCTCTTCATTTATAGTATAATAGAGCGACTTTAACAACTAATTATAAGTAGTACGCAAAACTATAGAAAACTAATGAAATAGTCACAGGTTTACGAAAAAATGTACCCACACGTTTACACATATATATTTTCTGATAACCTGGTGTAAAATTTATGCAAAATCAATATTATGTTCGATAGATAACAATATATGTAATATGACTAATAGGCATATATTGGGTCATTGTACACAACTGACTCAGAGTATACGCTTGCCAAAATTAATTGAAAAGTTTTCAGAAGGGGTTCTGTGGAGATTTCAGTATTTTCATAGTTGAAATCATGAGTCAATTGAAGCTAGAACACCATGGAAAACCTGGAAGCACTGGATGGCCGTTTCGTCCTATTGTGGGACTCCTTAGTAGTGCGCGTCCACAATCACTCCTCGCGAGATTCGAACCCAGGACCTACCGGTTAAAAGCTCTGGCGCGAGACTGGTAAGTCCTGGACTCGAATCTCGTGAGGTGGGATCGTCGATACGCACTGCTGAGGAGTCCCACAATAGGATAAAACGGCCATCCAGTGCTTCCAGGTTTTCCATGGTGGTCTAGCTTCAATTGACTCATGATTTCAACTATGAAAATACTGAAAAGTTTTGATGAAATTGCACAAAATTATATAACTGAGGTAAAGTTGGCAAAAGTGAGGTGGATAAAATGTAGTCACCTAAAGTATTAAAGTTTGTATACTGAGAAGATAGTGACAACATTTGTACTGATTATATAATGGACACTAGAATCGATACGTTTGATATAATGTTTATAATCGAATTTTTACCATACTCATTTACCGAAAACAAATTTATAGATATGTTAATGCAAAGGGAAGATGGAACGTTTGTAAACTAGTCAGTGGAAATTTCACTAATTGTTAAATTATGTCATTAATTGCATTTATCCTATTTTGAACAACTGTTTCATACTGGTATGAGATTCTTTGTGATTAGGCAAACAAGATTGCAGAGATCAAGGTGAGTAGAATATGTTCAAAATAATAAGTTGAAATGCATTAGTTTATATTTTCAAATATAGCCAACTCACCACATAGAGTGACAGTTAACCAATATCACTACTGTACTATTCTTAACTAGATGTCTGTGTCTTTGATGAAAACTGACTTCAAAGTGGATTATTCTAACAATTCCCCCAACTCAATAGTTTCAGTAATGCTGAAGGACTAGATTTTATGATGGCAGTATTCAATCATAATCGAGAATTACTCTACATTGGTCAATTCATATCTATACCAGCAGATAAATATATGGTAGAGTAGTTTTAAACTAGGCTCGTTAGTTGCGCCAGTTATTCAAACGAATAGGGATATACTTTGATTATTTGATATCTCCTTGAAAAAGCTTGGACCAGATTGCCGGGCGAAACGTTGGATTTACTTCAAATTTATTCGCTGAGATTTTACAAATATGTTATTCCTATTTAATGTCTTACATCAGCTCGACGCCCAAATACTGTGAAACTATTCGCTCTAATTTAGACGAGAGTTCTTATATATACTTTGATTAATTTACAAACAACATTCAAATTTATATTAGTAGCCTGGAAACTTGAGAAGTATTTTAGTGACCATTTATTAATCGGTACTTACGAAGCAGTTTATTTATGAACCTACATTGAACATATTATCTATTAATCAATCTTATGGTTAATAATAATCTATTCTACTTGAAAAAGTCAGAATGTATAAGATCAGATAAAATACACTTCGTTTTAGCGTCTGGATTGTGGACGCCAATTTTTTCTTGGGAAAATCTATTTGAAGCGAGTCGTTCGTCGAATACGGTAAAATAATGTTTTCTAGCTCTTGGTGATGATTCAAGTTTTTCAGAACAATAAACCCACTGTTTTGCTACCAAAGTAAACATAACTGGAACCTTAAAGCAATTAGTCCCTTTGATAAATTTCGACAGTGTAATAAGAAGACGAAGATTATCAGCGCAATACATTTCGAACAATCTGATCACACATATACTTGTTAAGAACATTTATATATAAAAATAAAAGATCAACTAGACTGGAAATGGGGGGTAAGAGAAGATAATAATAATAATAATAATAATAATAATAATAATAATAATAATAATAATAATAATAATAATAGTGTGGAAACAATTTGAAACCTAATCACTCTGGATAATAAGCTAATATTAACAGAGTAGGTTTAAGGTGAGAACAAACTGTTCTTGAATACACAAAGGGGGTTTGGATTTTCGTATGGCTAAGGTTTCAATAAACCTTAGTATACGCCCTTTTACACTTCTATACAACACCACAAATGCTCAGTTAAGATCAATCTTATGATCTGTTTCGATTATGTGTTTGGCAATAGAGAATAATGGATGTTTATCCTCAACTCTTATCGGGTCATTTGATTCTATTTGTTTCTGCAACCATTTTGGTACATGATCACACACAACTGGAACCTGTTATATCAAGCTTCCTGTTTAAGCATCTGGGCTACCTGTTCCTGTCATCTAGATATTTCAACAAGTTATCTAATTTCGTTTGTTTTAATACATCATTATGCCTATTATTCGCACAACCTATTCAGGTGCGTTTCTGAAATGTGTAAAACCTTTCGCTGTAAAGGTAACAGAAGGCCTAACCAGATATATCGTGGTTGCTGGCAATATGCAGCGAGAAGAATGTACATTATCCAGATGTCGATTGACTGGGCTGCTAACTTCTAACTGGCGATCACTCAATATTTATCGTCAGGAAGGACGAAGAAGTAAGAAACGGAAACTTGTTGAAGTACTTTGTGCTGCGAATTCTATATTGTACCAAAAATACAATATATAATATAATATAATAATAATATAATCCACCATTGTTTTCAGTGAGTTACTATCTCACAACAGACCTGGTTGAACTCCACTGGTCACTGCTTCTCATTAGAACTTCAGGAAATACTTCTTAAAGTCAGTCACTAGTGAGCATATGTTATAATGATCTGTGATGATCTATGATGATGACAAGCTCTGATGAACTGATTATATTTGAATACTACACGAGGATGTATAAAGCTGTATAAGAGATATGTAAAGAAAACAGCTTATATTTTATTGACTTATCATTATTCTAATGCATTCATATAATCGCACCACTGAACTCGTATATTTTTATCACACAGAACACTATTTGTATATCTGTTAATCAAGTGTTGAATTTTCTACACAGCGATCCGGTAACTTTACAATCTTGGCTGTGAAACTATGACATTTAAAACTAGAGGACATCTTCATGTCACTATTAATGAATTAAAAAAGTCTTTCAATTACTGCTAAACTGATGTAGAATAACTGTGTAAGCAACCTTAAGATTATACTTTGGGTATTAGCAAACATGACAAACCAGCTGATGAGGCTAGTAAACCTTCGTCCGCTGGGGTGACTTAGATATGTTATGTATGACCACTCAACGTCTACATCGACATGCAATTCTAGCTGGTGAAAAAGTAGGTTAAAAGGAAAATAGGATTGAACCAATTAAAACATGGGGTCAGACTAAAAAGTTTCTATTTGCTGGTTTGTTCCACGTCGGTAGACATTGATTACAGATCTCAAGTGATGTGGCTTCAAAGGTCCTAGAAGAATAGAAATGTATTAATTCAATGAGCAGTACTAATTGTTATCAGTGATTATATTATTATTTTCATTCCTATGTTTGTTGACTTGACTTCACTGTACTGATATGATATCACAACTTGGATCAATATACATGTGCCGTTTGCTTCAAAATCCCAGTACGCTATCTACTGTTACTGAAGTTAAATAGTCGCTCCCCTATCCAACGAGGGTGAATTTTCATTCATATATCAGCGGCTGACCAATTGCAGTTCTCGAAACTAATGAGAAGATATAAAAACCCTTAGAAATGAATTCACTTAGTCTATTTTTTTTTAATATTCCCTATTCTATCAAGAAACTGTCTTTCTGAATATGATAGGCTTAATGTGAGAGCCAAATATAAGTAGAACCTGGAAACTATGATTCACATTAAAGTTCAAGGAGAAACCTAGACTTTATGCAATTACTCCTGCATATGCGCCATAATAGAACTCTTGCTATTATGATGAAAACCGTAAAGTAGCTGGAACGACTAATTATGAAAAACAATTTATTACATTTCCGTCTTTTATATTTCATAATATATAATGAATATTTATATATCTCTATATGATCTCAGACATAGAAATGAGTAGATCCCATTTCATAATGTTTAATGTCATGCAACATACACAAGGGAAAAGGCAAGGTCCTGAAATACAACACGGAAAACACCAGCGCAGTCACACTTGATGCAGAAACTCTGGAAGAGATGGAAACTTTCACATACCTGGTCAGCATGATCGATATACAAGGAGGATCTGATGCAGATGTAAAGGCGAGAATTGGCAAAGTAAGGGCAGCATTCCTACAGTCGAAGAACATATGGAACTCAAAACAACTGTCAACCAATATCAAAGTCACAATCATCAATATGAACGTCAATACAGTTCTACTATACGGAGCTAAAACTTGGATAACTACCACAAACATCATCAAAAAGGTACAAGTATCTATAAACAGTTGTCTATACAAAATCCTCAGTGTCCATCGGTCAGATAACATCAGCAACAACCTACTGTGGGAGAGGACGAACCAGCTTTCAGCTGAAGAGGAAATTAAGAAAAGATGCCGGAAGTGGATAGGATACACACACCAAACTGCATAACGAAGCAAGAGCTAATTTGGAATCCTGAAGCGAGAAGGAAAGGGGGAAGACCAAGGAACACATTTCGCCGAGAATTCGAAGCAGATATGGAAGAGGACAAATATGAACAACTGGAAATGATTGACCAAGATAGAGTTCGATAGAGAATGTTAGCGGGCGGCCTGTGCTCCTCCACGAAGGGTAACACTGATGATCGAACTAATCAAGACAATTTCTAGTATAAGTGATTTAAATCATAATGTTTCATGATGTGTTAGCTATTTAAACAGAGTCAATACTTTAAGCTCGAAATAATCTTATTTTAGTGAGATATAATATTAAATACTTAGTTATATCATGATAACATTTTTGTTTGGCGGTTACAACATCAAACGCTTTCTAGTTTCCCTTTTAGCACATAAACATGTATTAATGCTGAGTATTAAAAAGTACAAGAGACTTGACTTATAAGGAGATATTCGGTGATTACTTTAAGGTTGTTGACATAAAATACAACACATTCTAATGTCAACTTATAACACACAAATAAACACTGCAACTAACAATTATTAAAATTTTCATAATTTATACACCTTATTATCATATCATAATTAAGCATCATTATTATTTAATTGAAACCACAGATTACTGACTCATTGAGAAAAATAATTATTAGCAATCGAATACTGTGCCAAATAGACTGAAATCATCATTTATAGAGTAGATAATTTTAAACATTGCGTAAATACCATATGATTATAATGTCTAATAATAACAATCATAATCATAACAATTAAGTACACTATAAAAATCCATTCGAACGATTAATAAAAAAAGCACCATAATTTACATGTATTGATATTAACCGTGTTGACAACCACAAATAATCTCTTTACACAGAAGAATGCGGAAAATATATAAGTATATGCATATACAAATGTCATGTTCTTCTGCCTCCTCCCCCCCCCTTCTTCACACACATGCACAAATTCTTTCTATTTTTTTCATTAGAGAAAAATTACTATTAATAAAGTTACCCTTTCAGAAAAACAAACATCACTCAAGTGCATGATATCGTTACTCCTCTCTCTCTCTCCCTCCCTCCCTCCCTCCCTCTCTCTCTCTCTCTCTCTCTCTCTCTCTCTATATATATATATATATATATATATATATATATATATATATGAGTTGATTACATAACTAACTACTCAAATAACCTGCAAATATAAACTCACTAACATTTTGTTAATTAAAACAATAAAAATAAAGCTGTGGTGATTTTCTTTTATTGTTTATTAACTAACGAACATACTTTCTATGCATGTTTACGTGCATGTATGTATGGATGTATGCTGTAGATAGTTTTGTGCTTGTTTGTCTTTACGTATTTGGCACAAATGATGAAAAATGTTAATTACCGTCTAATTATGATTATATGTATAAAACGATGTATAAATTTTAAAAGAAAACCATAGAATGATTATAAACAGTTAACTGAGATCGAAATTATATATTCCTGTATTGTAGGGTTACCGTAATTGTAATGTTTAAATAGTATGAGGTTACAGATGAGGCGATGGTGTTCAAGTTGGCTTACCACATATTAATTATCAGATGCGCACTGCTGAGGAGTCCCACAATGGAACGAAACGGCCGTCCAGTGCTTCCAGGTTTTCCAGGGTGGTCTAGCTTTAATTGACTCACACTTTCAACTATGAAAATTACTACATTTTATTTATGGATTATAAAAATGTGAGAGTAGGATTTATGGTAAGAATAATAAGTATTTTAATGAGTTTCTAAAATATAATCGGCTCAGGTAGTTGACATATGTTTTACGGAATCGAATGCCACTATTTAACCTAAAGGCTATTTGTGTAAGAGTACGTTGAGAGAAGGCCAGTTTGTGACGTGGCGTCAGATCATGAAGCAATTTATCATTCCATTGAGCCACATTAACTTTCAGGTGAAGGTGTGAGGAATAGTTATGATCTATTAAAGGTATGGTCAATTGGATTGATACATATTCATTCCAGATCAGATTGATAAATCATTTAAATAAAAATATTCGTCATATTCTAACCAAAGTTAAATGAACACTAAATCTCTTCATTTATTAAATGGTTGAATAGTTAATTTGAATGATTAGTATCACCAGGACAAAATATTCTTCACCAATAATAAAGTTGATACATGGATCGATGTAGCTTAACGGTATCTCACTATGATACCAGTACGACTGCTGTTGATACACTACTTAATCAAGACAATTCTATGACAATAAAAAGAAATAATAAATGAACGGCTGGTGAACATTTATAAACTTTAAAAACATAGAACACTAAACTACATAACAACACATGTCTGCACAAATATTAAATGACAACTTTAGAACAAAAAAACATATAACCTCTAGGTTTGTATTGAAATATGAGTCGATATAATTGATACTATCGTTGAAAACCTGGAAGTACTGAACGACCGTTTCGTCATAGTATGGAACTCCTCAGAAATGCGCACTAACGTTTCCGTCACCGGAAATCAAACTCAAGAACTTTGGGCTCGCGTCCTAACGCCTAAACTCTAAACCATTGAGCAGGAATCCAATTGTGCTAATGTCTGACCTCAATCAATCCACGACGTTGGGTGACTATCATCCGTTATCTTTGGTGGGTAAATGACTCACATCAGACATGGATTAGCTCTAGTGGTCACGGCTTCCACTAGAACTGCGGAAAGTTTTTCTCAAAATTAGTCACAAATGTGCACATGATAATTTTGAGTATGGGGTTGTGGAGATTGTTGAATTTCACTGAATTTGAAATTAAGAGCAAATGAAAACAGACAATAACAAACTAGACGCAATCATACCTTATTACTTTGTTTCCATATATCAACCAGAGGAAGGGGGACTTGTTCTAACGATTGAAGAATTTTTTCAAATAATTCATTCGAGTTATATTGGACTGACTAAAGACAAAAGAAAAAAATAAGACTTACTAAAAAGACAAAGTAATCGTGATTATTTGGTCGAACGATGTAATTATGATAAAGTTTGTGTTGAGAATTGTTGAATGCAAGTTGTTGCTTCAGGATTGGCCCGTGTCAACACCTGAACTAAGGATAGGGAGTAAAGTAGTTGGACGCGTTGACAACTTCGTTTATCTCGGAAGTCTGATCAGCCCTAATGGATTGGTGTCTGATGAAATCTCAACAAGGATTCAGAAAGCTCGTTTGGCTTTTGCCAACTTACGTCACCAATGGCGAAGACGAGATATCCGTCTATCAATTAAGAGACGAGTATACTGCGCAGCAGTTCGCCCTGTTCTACTTTACGGCTGCGAAACATGGCCATTAAGAGTAGAAGATACTCGTAGGTTACTAGTATTTGATGACACATGTCTTAGAAATATTTTTGGCATCTGCTGGGATCACAGGGTAAATAATATTAAGGTTAAACTCAGGGTATTAGAGAATGATAGTGAATCAGTTGGTGAGGTTGTAAATGTTCACCGACTGAGATGGTTGGACCACGTGTTACGTATGCCTGAACACCGATTACCACGACGTGCAATGCTGACTAGTGTTGGGGATGGCAGGAATAGAGTTAGGGGTAGCCAAACCAAAACGTGGCATCAGTCCATGAAGTCACTAACTTGTGATCTGAGTCGTGTTGGTAGATGCAGCCTACTTGGTTATGGTCCACGCGTTTATTGTAACCAATGGTTGGAGACTCTGAGTGACATGACTCGGAATCTATCACAATGGTGTAGGTGTATATACCCTTTGTCTTCCCTTAGACCGTGAGGTTAGAATTACTTTATACCTTTCTTTCTACTAACCAGTTCCTTTCCTCTGTATCACATCCTTAAATTCATCTTGTCTTTTTACTACCATTGAATTACTTACTTCTATGAATCCGGTGTTCATCTTGTTGTGCTAACGAGGTGTGGCAACTTGAACCGATGTATATATGTGCCTGGTCCTACGTTGTACCCCCCCTAACTGACTGACTCTTACTTATTCTTATCCTCATGACTAACGAAATTCTTATCTCAAACTAAGGAAAAAGTGAATATACACTAGTCGATAAAGTGATATTCTATTTCGAAATTCGTCAACTTCATTATATCGCGTGCGTTGTTCTTTTTGTTTTCTGAAATTTATAATCATTTATTAATACTTCAATAGTACTGAAGTTTTATACAGAATAATACTACTCTATTAAAATTCAATATTCAAATCAATTTTAGTACTGTACATCTTGAAACATTAAACATATGAATAGAAAGAATACATGATTGAAATATTTGTATCAAATATATATAAATGTATATTTCAGTACATTAGGTGGTCTGACATAAACCAATTTTGAAACAAAATGTAATTAAGATTGAATTTAATGAGACCATTAAGCTGAATAAATTGATTCCTAAACAGTTAAATTGTAAAAAAAACAAGACGAACATACTATTTATTAACAATAAGAAGTGTTCTAAAATAGTCAAGAGCTCATTATAAACTTTACGCCAACAATGAATTGTAGAATCGATTTGGTATGTTGAATAAATCGTTGGTCACCGGCTACCCCTCCTGCCTTCTCATGGCGTGGGTGTTATTCACGAAAGTGAGAGGACGAAAAGCGAATGTCCGGCGCTTTAACCGGGTTGATGGACACGGAAAGTTCACCTAGGGGAGTTGGAAAACCACCATTCCAAACCCATGGTGTACATGGGCTCCAGTATCCTGACACAAAAATGGCATATGAACCAATTGTTGGTCACCGGCTACCATGGGATTGCATCTCCTCACGATGCTCCACTGTCTTGTGGGTTAGACCTTTAGGTCAAAGGCTCGGGGTTTGGCCCCCTAAGAAAACCACCTGCTTCAGTTTGGGCACCAGGGTAGTATCACAGCCCTCACACAAATCAAATGAGATTTGTGTGGTGCATATATATCTGGTGCCCCTTTGTACCAATAGTTATGTGGTTAAATAAAATAAAATAAAAAAATGATACTCAAACGTCTATTGTGAACTGAATTATATAGAATGGTTATGTTGTGAACGATAGCACAAGCTATGACAAGAAAATGTGTAAAAATATAAAACTACAGAATCTTTTAGTAGAATCTGAGAACCATACAGTAAATACTTCATTTGCTAAATATCCATCATTCGTGTTAAATGTCATCTCATTTATGGTTGTAGTTTAGTCTAGATAAGTCCCCTATATTTCAATAGTTCTTTAATAGAAGTGTGTACTCCCAACTTACACACAAGGTAGAACACAAGACCTTCAGATCACGCTGAAAGCAATTTATATTAAACCCATTGTACTGAAATTTAATAGTCCATATTTCCAACTTCAATGTTCCAGAGATATGGTACAATAACCATCCAACGTCATTAAAAATGATTGACCGACTAACTTTTGACATAAATAAGCTCCATTGGAAACCTGTAAAATTTATCTCGAAGTTAATCACTTCACATGGAAGTAGAGGTAATAATTTAGATTAATTCCCACAAAAAAAATATTTGCTGAAAGATTACGTGACACTTGAAGTGATAGGAAAATGCAGATGTGGGTTAAATAAACGTTTCTAAACGTATCAGAGTGAAACGTGAAGAAGAACAATATATGTGTAAACCATGAGTACTGAGTAGCCTTGTAATACAGGAATCCTAAATGAATCTTTGAACCGGAGATAGGGCAAGGTCGAAAAAATCCATCAATTCATTTCTTTTCGATGTACAGTCTTACCTCAGAAATTCTTATGACCATCTCTTATGTAGTTAAAAACGAATCGGATTCTGATCGTATTTGGTGAATTAATTTTAATGTCTGGTAGAAGTGTTGAAAAATGTTTACTTTATGTTAGTCTTAGCCTTATGGTCTTATTTGTTAAACTCATTGAAACTTTCTTTAAATGATAAGAAGTTGTACAAATTCTTATATGCATATTTAAGAATTTTTCATTGTTTAATGATACAACTCAATATACTTGTACATATTTACGTAATAAAGAAGCATTTATGAAGAGTTTATTGTATACTTAGAATGTGCTAAACATTAATAAAGTGGATATTGCTTTTCACTAAAAATTTCAAAATTGATATTTCAGTAATTAGTTTATTGATCTATCACTTACTAAAACACAGCTAAGATAGCTGAAGGTCTAGTTCAGATCCATTGAGATGGTGTGTAATTTTAAAAGGACTGGTGACCCCCCCCCGACCGTTGCTGCTACCTTGACGTGGTGGTCGGGCTTGCCTATCGTGATGAACCAATCGAGCTATATTGGCTGGAACAATCGTCCTACCATGGCACACAGGTTGATTGAAGAGCGGTAAGACTAAAAGCACCAAACCCAAGGTCCGAAGGCGAAGTCGTACTGCTCACCGTACAGAGGTATGACAGCAGTAAGGTGTTTCCTTCAGACAACCAGCATGACAGCAATGGTACCTTCCCACAAGGAGGGGTGAGGTTAGAAAAGGTCGACCCTAAAAATGCACACCTCGACTTATCCCACGGATATCCGTCTGCGGCGGTAAGGTCCCAACAAGTACAGAGCTAACACAAAAATTACCCACAAAAAGGTCGTGTGTGACCGACCTCAAGCAGTTGTCCATTGGGCACTGCGGCTCAGTTCATTAAAACCACTTCTAACCCAATTTCCTTCTCAGGTACCTCTAGAAGAACCCTTCCACAGTGTGAGCAACCGGGAAGTGATAACTGCCCTTTTTCCCATAAACAGCTGACTGGTGAACCCAGTGAAATTTGAAACTATCTTAATCAGTGTCCTGACCATCTTACTGTTTAGTCATTTTAATAATAAGTGATTTACTGAAGGATTGATTATTTGATGACCGAACAGTGATCAATGTCAATTCAAGCAGACCTGTATATCGCATTCATGATCAGTATAGAGGCTTACAGAGATTCTTCAATGTTACTGAGATCACGAGTTGGTCCAAGTTAAACAAGCACTGAAAACCAGTAAACACTGGACAACTGTTCTGTCCTAATGAAAGACTACACTTAGCAGCAGACATTCACGACCTCGACACTGGGGGTCAAACCCAGGACTTTCAATCTCACTCGAGAACGCTTAACCTCCATAACACTGAGCTGGATTCAGCTAACCGTAATAAGTATGTATGAGATTGGTTATTACTTAGTGATTAGTCAACTCATTATAATAAGACAAAAAAATTACCAATAAAATAATTTTATTTATTTATTTATTTAAACACATAAATATTGGTGCTGGGGGGCACCAGATGTATATGCGCCACACAATACAATGAAAATGGGAAGAGAAAGGGGTAAGATGCATATATAAAAAAAGAAAAGTAATGGTGAGGGAAACTGAAATGTACAACCAAAAGAACTCTCTCAGTTAAGGAGGTTATAACCACTCTTTATGCAGAAAGTAAAAGAAGGTTACAGCAGGATTGCCATTGGCTTCTATTCTAAGCCATATCTGATAACGTCTCTAGCCACTGTGTAGCACCATCTTTCGGACCCCAGCCAAGGAGTAGTAAAGGACTAACAGTAGCCAATCTTTTGCAGCTTTCTTTCATACCACGACACCATGTCATACACTGATCACCTCTCCGCTTTTTCCAACCAGACCTAGCGTCGGCAAATAATCTTAGAAAAACTTGTTAAAATGTAGTTAAAAATAAACTTCCCTATACGAAAGTGGATGTTAGTAAAACTTTATCAATGAATCAATGTTTAAAATAATTCAATGAAATGAATAAATCATAAGGAAAGAACTCACAAGAAATAATTGTTTTTCCGACTCCAATTCATCAGTAAGTGAACCGTCGACGACAAGCTAGAATAAATAATATTGATGGAAAATAATCGAAAAAAAGATAGAAATCATAAATTTCATGAGAGATAATCATAGATAACTATAATTAAATGAGATGATGAACTTTTTTGATGGAGTTTTGTTCTCTGACCAAACTGCTCAGCTCAGAGAACAAAACTCCATCAAAATCATCCACCTGCGCTACAAATCTTCTCCACCATGATATGATGAACATTTCACAATGATTATATGGATAGATAATGAAAACATGTCTTTATGAAAATATATTATTATATACTAGGAAAATATATTAACGATGACTTGTATGGTACACAATTTAAATATAGGACGGAAAGAATACAGTAGATTTCCGTGTTCCCAGATATATGCGATGGATTTATACAATATGATTATCTAGTTTGTGAAACGACTCGTTTCTGACGAACTAATGATTTCATCGATGTGAGAGTAGAATTTAAAAGCACATGTGCTAACTGCTTGAAATGAGTCATGTACAACCTTTCCATGAAAAGCTGTGTTTGTTATATTGTTACCAGTTTTGTGAAATCTTATGATAAACACGTAAGATGCATGGGACAGAGAAATGATATATGTAGGTTTGACACATTCTTAATTCTCGAAATGCAATATTATTTGAAATGTCGGTTACCGATGCGGAACCTTACAAGATGCTCATATTGTGAGCAGTACGTCTTCGCTCTTGAACTTAATTTCGCCTTTGAAATTATAGCTCTTCATCCAACCTGTCTAATATGATAAGGTCTCAGAGATTGCGCTGTCACACCAGATCATCCCTAATACTTTGTCAAAACAACAAATACACTCGGAAACTGAAAGGGAAATGAAACTAACTATTTAAGACACAGGACAGACTGATGAAAATTGAAAGATAACTACTTTACGTTAGTACTTAAACTAACAGTCTCGAAATTACCGATTCAATCAAATGCATTATCAAATATAAATTTAAATCAAAGACACTTCATCTAGATATTTGATAGCTTTGAACCATACACTGAAAATCGTCAGGAAGTAGAAACGATATTAACCTTAGTTTTATTTTCAATAAACAATTAGTCATAAAGCGAATAACTTATTGTTAAATCAACTGATCTGGATTTAAGATAACTAGATTTGAATATGTCCTCATAGGACTGATCTTACTGAAGGAGATATCACTCTAATTTTAAATTTTTAAATTGACTGGCTACAATAATTGAATAATTCAAATACGTCAAGGATTCCATCAAAGTTGAAATAAACACAAAACATACAGGTCGTTAATTATGCTAAATTGCTTGGCTTGATATCTATTTCCAGTGTAATTGTTTTACTGTCGGTACACAGCTGTAAGATGCCATACCGATTTCGGACACTCAAAAGAGTCGTTAGATGATATATAGATAATGGTGTAAGATTATACATTCTTTGAGCTATTTCCTTTGGGGTCAAGTGAATGTTATTCCACCTAATCTAATTTAATTTAGCGAAAAGATTTTATAGTAATGAGTTTGATTGCGCCGTAAATCCTTATTCACTGTGAAGAAGATTTGTAATTTACTCGATGGATGACGTATTGAATTCTCACAACAAATACGAAACCCTACAGAACATAGATATTCTAACAACTAGCTTCAAACAAAGGAAAACTCATTCCTTGGATTGCAATATTAACCTCTCATTAAGAAGTACATCTCAAAATGTCTAAAGAAGTTCAACTCTTCATTTATCAACTCTTGTGTGAGCTTGTTACAGATCGTCATTTATTTCACTATTTTCCTTACAAAACCCTTCATCACCAAACGATTTCAACCAAAATATTTTGCTCAGTATGGCAGTGCTATTGTCAATTTTGTATTCCTCAAGGGAATATACTTCACAACATTTATTTGCTTAGCAACATACTCAACTATAACATCAATTAAGAATGTTGCCTATTCCTCATACACGTTTTACTCATCTTACCCTGTGAATAAAATTTTTATAGTTAGGATGACATAGATAATCATATTAGTTTACTTTATGTAGAACTGACTTGTTTTAATACAGTTCTCAACTCATATACGCTTCTGATAACTAATCAACATTTTGAATGAGGATTTGTGGAAAAAAATGGTTGAATTCATGAATGAATTTAAGCTAAATCACAATTGAAAACGTGGAAGCACTGTAAAGCCGTTTCGTCATAGTATAGGACTCCTCAGCAGTGGACATCCACGGCCTCAAACTCTGGACTCGAGTTAAGGGCCTCCGGTCTCGCGAGTGATTGAAGGTAGACATTGACATTGTTGAATGCTGGCTCAGTGGTCTAGAGGTTGAGTCTTCGAGGTCATGGGTGCACACATCTGGGGAGCCCCATACTGAGACGAAACAGCCTTACAGTGCTTCCAGGTTTTTAATTGTGATTTAGCTTAGATCCATTGATGAATTCAACTATTTTTGAATATTCCTAAAAAGTTTCTTCACTCATACTGCTTTGTTTAATTTATCTCCAGCCCCAATCAATAATTTTCTGTAAACGTAACAAAAAATGGCATAAATCTGTTTGGATACATAATCAATATCCTTTTTCTAAAATGGGAAGCATCTTGATAGAGAAATAACAAGACAAAGGAATTTATATTATTCTACTACGTTTATCGGTTTTGTTTTATCAAAAATACTATTTTATAAAAAGAGGGACAATCGTACAAAACGCCGCGTTCATTATTCAATAATCTAAACAAATGATTAATTTTTTTTATTAGAAGTGTGTTACATATAGCGCGTACAACAAACGCGTGTAAACTCTATTAATTCAAAAGACACAAAGTGTACACATGATTTCCTAATATAAGCAAAACACTATATGTCGGTAATCTAAGCTATGTGTCTATTAACTACAACAATCAGGGCTTTATTAAATCTAGGATATAAACAAAGTATAACTAGATTTATCGTCGTGATTACATTGATCTTGAATAAGGACACACTAGGAGAGCATTAATTCAACCTTGAAGCACGTGATAATGCATTGTTTACAAAATCGATAGCCCTAGCGATGAAAAATGTTCACGTGGTCAAGACATGATAAACTGTCATCTACTTGTAAACAAACTAATCAGTTAATTATCATATATATATTGTTTGCTATTTCGATGTACAAAAAACTTAGTACAGAATTATGACAGTTATTTCATTTAGGATATGTTAAATAACCAACATGTATACAACATGTACACCTACCCAATATATAGTACAACTTAACTAACATTTTTACACAAAAAAGTCTTTGTTTCAGAGCCTGATTCAAATGATATGGATAAACCAACTTATCTAGATTACTAGTCTTTTGAGAATTTATGTCAAGAAACTTTCAAAGTTCATTATGATTTTCAATCCATAATTTGATATCACTAAGTGATCAAGTTGGATCATATGTAAATGATTTTCCTGATAATCTTGTCTGAACAACTGTCCAAATCATTTTACAATTTTTTGATAGTCGTTTCGATCAAAGATAAATAGTAGGGATCAGTAGGAAACTATGCTAGTCTTGGTTGGTCACATGTTAGTTAGTACTGATCAGTTAAGTGTATTTAAATCCTTGAGGCTACTAATTCATCACCTAGTAATCTAGTTAGCAAATCCTGTATTGAACAGTATTTCAGATATATTCCGAGTTACTACTGAAATTGACGAAACTGATGGTTAGGGTTAGAAATTAGATGTAGGGTTTTCATAACGAACGGACATTAACTATAATGCCAAAACGTTATTTAGCCAAAAGGATGAATTAATTTTACACCAAAATCCAAGACCTTTTATCCTAAATCTGAATGCTGCTCCCACAATTACAGTCTCGCCAACTTGACAGCAAACAAAAACTTGTACACGGCAACTTACAATAACCGATCATACTATTAAAGCAAATACTAGTGAGAAAAGCCATCTTGACTGAAGAAAACGGGAGAATACATTTCACCACTTGATAAATTAATGGGCTACTAATAAAGAGGTCAGCCAGTTATTCAAGTAAATGAATCAGAGTAATATGGGAAAAATAAGAGAAATAATTGTTTTAAGCTATAAAAATATTCATTGTTTCAATCTTATTAAGTTGCTTCTTTTAAGTTTACTAAATTATTAGTCATCATTAAACTTAATGGTGCCCTGAATTTCTTATCTATGATTGAGCGTTTAGTAAACAAACTGTTCAAATTCAAAGATCGAAAAACACTAACCATAATACATCAAACTGTAATCAGGTAGATTGTGCAGTTATTTGTATGAGTGGTTTTGATGAATTATGAGAATCGTGAATATCGCGAATCGGCAACACGTAAACAACCAATGAAAACTAAGTAGTATTTGACAGTTGTTTCATCTAAATTTTAGACTTAGTACTGTGCAAACTCAGTCCCTCAAGAGATCGAATCTACGACTTCAGGTCCCTCTGAAATCAAATATTACTGATAGAGTATTTGAGAGTTCAATTGCCTACGATGTCATCGTCGGTAAACACTCCAAGTGAGTTCCAAATAAAGAAGGAACTGCTTTCGTGAACCCCCGATCACTAATGGTTAGCCAGCTAGTGGCAGTACGTGATAAAAACTTTAAATTAAAATATCAGTTTCAGACTTTTCATAGAAGACTCTCTTCATCACATACAAGATTTTGTATCCAGTTCGAATTTTCAAATCGTTTTGTTTAAAACTTAATGTTGAATAATTGAGATAATGTAAAAGATTCAAGATTTCTCAACCTCAAACTAAACTAGCATTAGAATCGAGAAAATATATTTCTAAAAATATAGAAACGATTAATGACTAACTTATGGAGAAAAACAATATTCCCTGAATTTCCTAATTTAACCTATGGACTTGTAGGACAAAATATCATTGAGAAACAAAAGTAATATTTCCTTATTCTTACAAATGATGGTGAAAAGCTAGTAACTCATTTCCACCTCAGTGTAGGTCAAAAAATGTGATTTTTATAGAAGATAAAATATGTGATTCTTATTTTTGTTGAGTTGAGAAAAAAGACACCCATTCAGATGTCTAATATTTACTACCGACTGTCTATTGATGTCAATCCATGAGAACTATAGTTTCCTAACTTATTTCCTCAACCAAAAATACAATAACATGTTTATGAAACTTAACGACTCCAAATGCCCTGGTACAATCAAAAGTAGGGAGAGTCCGCCCTCCCTTTCGAAATGCTCTCACATGGCCTCGAGTATATAGTTTCTGCCACGGAAGTCCTACTCACTGCCTTCTCGTGGAATTACTGTTGTTTACGAAATGGAGAGGACAAAAAGCGAATGTCCGGCACTTTAACCGGGTTGGTGGACACGGAAAGTCCACCTAGGGGAGTTGGAAAACCACCATTCCAAACCAGTGGTGCACATGGGCTCCAGTATCCTGAAGGAACAAATGGCGTATGAATCAATCGTTGGTCACTGGCTACCATGGGACTGCATCTCCTCACGATGCTCCACTGTCTTGTGGATCAGATCTTTAGGTCGAAGACTGTAGGTGTGGTTCCCCAAGAAAACCACCTGCCTCAGTTTGGGCACATGGGCAGTATCATAACCCTCACACAAATCGAATGAGATTTGTGAGGCGCATATGTATCTGGTGCTTCCTTGTACCAATATTTATGTGCTTAAATAAATAAAATAATGAAACTTAACAGATCAATTCCTATTTATTACGAATCTAATGTAAAGATAAAACTTCACAACTGTTAGTTTTAACAATCGTGACGAGTAAAATGATTGTTCCTTACCAAAAAAATTAATAGTAAACTTTGATGACTATTGATTTCGCGCTGTTTGAGTTGGTAATTTTTTAAACCGAAAAAATCACATGTGGAGGTGGCAGCCAAAATTACTAATACAAAAAACTAACTGATTTTTAGATCAATAGACTGTAATCTAAAGCCTAACTCATCATCATTAAATAAATGCAATTACATTTTTTACCAACTGATACCGGAAAACAACATGAAAGAAATTGCGACAGGAAATAAAGATGAAAGGAACTGTTTGATCGAAGGTAAGGAAGTCAAAATAACTCTAATAACAAACTGGAACAATTCTGATTGATCTCAGACTGCAGGAATTAAATATTCTTGGACAAGTATTTAGAAGATAGTTTCAACTGAAGTTATAGTTAAAAAAAACAATTGAGTAAAGTGCAAAGATATTAGTTTTCAAACCATTGCTCATATATTTTGCGCCCATTGAGTTAGCGATTCTGAAGTTAGAAGAAGAGTACAAAGTAAAGATGACAAATTGAATACTAAGGTCGTGGATTCTTGTCTACTGAAGTAACTCGGAAATGTATCATTACGTACGCCTATCCACCTACTATCTCGTCAAGCGATGATGGTTGATGGGTGGTTAAACCAAGACATAGCATCAGTCGATGAAGATGTTGACTGTTAGACTGAGCCATGTTGGTAGGTGCAGACTAACTGGTTGTGGTCCACGTGATTACCGTAACCAATCGTAAGGGACTTTCATTGACACAGCTAAAAATAGTTCTTAATGGTCCTCAGTAATGCACACCATCAACCCCACCAGTAACTTCGGGTCCCCAGGTAACCACTTAAACTATAGCATACTGAGTTAGAATCCAATAGTGCGACTTTTCAACGACAGCCAATTCACAAAAGAGTGTGGTAACCGTCTAATATCATTAGTGACAACTGTTACTGACACGTTTAAAACCCACCAATCACATGATCCTAATAAAACCTCAGGAGAATATCGTGAAGTTACTAGTGACCTTATGTTTATAGTTTTGATGAGATCTTGTGGAGCAATAAATGTACACTCCTTAGAAGTTACGTACTTGGACGAAACAGCTGTTAAATGTCCCCTGGTATTCAGTGGTGCTCAAAATGAGATCACTAAGTTGAAAACTCCACCTAAAAATCCAATGAGCATTAAACCCGCTGTCCAGTTAATATGGTTTTCACTTAGTAGGAATAATTTTTCAAGACCTGAAAATATCTCATTTCTATGAAAAGTACCTTAATAATTCCAAAAGCATTACATTGAAATATTGTCTAACATAATGACAAAAACTGTTTAAATAAACTCACAAAACATGGAATCATAACTGCAGACTGTTTTGCATACGAGGTTACGATCTAAGATACTTTTTCTGGTTCACGCATATGTGAATAAAGATTTTTTTAAAAGGTCTTATTAAGATGAACTTCTTAAAATCGATATTAGGAATACACTGGCTACAAATTACAAAGGTATGGTCCACAATAATACAAAACACTGATTAGTGGTTAACGTAGAGACAAATTCCAATGATAAACTAAGGTATTGTGAAGTTACTTAAAAACTTTTTGTAATAGCTATCAAAATTAAAACATCGAGTAAACTGCATAACTACAGTATGAATATATTAAGATTGTAGACGTTATTAATTTTCAAACGTTTAATAATATAAGTTTTAATGGTTTATGTTATCCTGTTGATAATACTTTGAATGAATTTTGATCGATTTTAATTGGCATATGTACATCTGTGCACATTGCCTCCATATAACCAGTTATGACACAAGTTAATGAAGAATAAATGTTATGCAGGTAGCTATGGAATTCAGAGTAAGCGATTTGTTCTATTCGGGACTTGTTAGCTGAATGTGCCAGAAGTGAACATCAACTCTCAAATGGAGATATATCCATTTGACTTAGTAATAGCCAATGCCATATATGTTGATTCTTTCTTAGTATTGATCAAATTCTATCGATCAAGTTGCAGTGTCGCCACTAATTTATATGACTCTACATCGCGTGCACTATATTGAGATGTTACTGTGGTTGCAAATAGTCAGCAGAGAAGCCTGAAAACTGAATGTCTTGGGCTCAAACCGACCAAAGAGTATCAGTTCCTTTAAGATTGGGAGGTACATCTTGCTAACGAGCACTGCCGAATAGAACGAAACTTCAGTTCAGGGTATCCTGTCGACTGCTTCCGACCACTACTAACTTACATATCAATAAAATATTATAAAACATATACACTTACTCCACATAAATATTCAAAATTTTCAACTGTATTTTCTTTTGAAAATGATATTTCAGGCTTGTCCATATTTAAGCATAAATCATTTGATATTAATGTTTTTAATTCATGCCTTTGTACATTCAACGCAGACTGAATACGTGTTAAATAAAGCTGAATTGTTTCATAAAATTCTTTAGAATTATTTGTTACATCATCATTTGACTGATCAATATTTAATGTATTCAACATTTCGATTAGTACTGGGGCTGCTATCCAAGCATCTTGTAGATGTGTTAAAGTATGCAAAGCAATATCACATTTTTTATAAGTTGAGAGATTCACTGTACTATCTTGATGATATTTTTTATTTTCATTCTTATTATTAGTAGTAGTATCTATATCTAAAAGACGCAAAATCCCAGCTGATATATCCATTAGACTAGATAAATCCTCTTGATCATCCTCTGAACACTGAAAGATAAACAATATTGATAACAATAATTAATAGTAAACACAATAACTAATAAATAAATGAAGATAGATATTAACTTGTGTACCATTTTAATAAACTCCACCTGTAGCTCCTCTGAGGGCTACTGCCGGTCCCAAGCCCGGGTAAAGGACGAGGGTTGAGCATGTGGTTAGCGACCCCGTCCTGTAGAAAACCAACTCGCTAAAAAATCGCTAACCAGAAAAAATTATTAAAACCATTTTGATAAGAAATTTTATGCTAATTAAGATAATTTTTGCAGAAATCCTCTACAATTCAAGATTCCATTTCATTATACAATAATACCATATAGAGTATTTGTAAAAGTGAAGATTGAATGGCTATTTCTATTTTGAGTCCAGGAATGAACATCAACTCTGTGATGTAGATACATCCAACTGACGAGACCTAAATAGGATGAAACGCGCGTCCTGAATTCCATTACTAGCTACTATCCGTCTTTGCTTATAATGCTTGTAATCTAGGGCAATATTGAGGCAATCCGCACAAAATGCTTATATGCCAACAAGAGAACGATCAATTGCAGTCTTAAAAATCAATGGAGAAGATTCAAATAACCAATACAAAAATTAACTATTTCAATTTAGTTTGTAACTCTTCAAGAGTTCCTATTCTAACGTCACCATATGAAGTTGAACATGGAAACTTCAAGTATTTATTATACTCTCTATGAAAATATAAAATCGTACTTGACTTAGTGAAAAGCGATGATTATTTCATACTACTGGTGTATGACTGACTCACTGCTGAAGTACTTAAGTACCATCTCATCTAAGAGTGTCATAAGATCTATCACAATGCTAGTAATCATACGTAATAACTGTTCACTAAAGTGGTTTTGGTAGAGATTTTGCACAATATAAATTTTATTTACTTCAGTTAATATCAACTTATGACTAACTAGCTTCAATCATAAATGTAGCACTTCAGTTTGAACAACAATTATAATAATGATGATTGATTTAGATTGATTTAGATACTTTTTGTTCAAAATTACGATTACCTACAGTTCATAATAATATAAGTTGCATTTAGAGTAACTCTACTAGACACATTAACATACTAACTAGTGAGATCATGAATGTGCTGATCACAGAGAAAGTTATCCAAGGTATATTAGACAACCGGTGGTTAATTCATTCAACCTGGGTAACGTAAACTGTGTATTTTGCTTGTCTACCTAATAAATCACACGAATTTTATCTTTTTTACGACATATTAACTAACTATATAATAGAATCAACTTATTTAACTTCAAGATCATGACCATTGAAATCATAAACAGATTTAAGTTAGACCACCGTTGAAAACCTGGAAGCACTGTATGGTCATTTCATCCAAGTATGGGACTGAGAAAAACCAAAAGTCCTGAGTTCGATTCCTATGTGCAAAAGGAGTCCCACACTAGGACAGTGGTATAACTTATATCGGTTCAGAATTTCAATGGAATTCAACAATCTCCATAACCCCTTAATGTTAGTTAAAGAGACTAATCAAGACAGATATGGTTAGACAAAATATTAACTTCGAGGGATCATTACGAAATTCTATCACGAAACACAAACCGCTTGCTGAAAAATTACTAGAATTTATGGTCAAACATTCCATTCAGTGACTGAGATTACAGGTTGAATTTAATTGCTAGATAAGTTTTACAAATCTACTGTTTAATTACTGTACAAATGAGTGGTACAATGTGATAACTTCATCAAGATGTTTTTGATGTGAACATCACAGGAATTTTTAATGAGTAAGGAATTGAACAGAATGAAATAATGACTTTAGAAACTAACTACACAGTTTCTTAATTAATCAAAGGATTTATAAAGATAAGTCATAATCAAACATGTAAATATACACATTAGTAAATAGTTTGTACCAAGTTAACACATCATCATTAAGCCATCCCAAGAAATGAAAACAGAATCGTTTGACCATATATGAAAAATGCCTTAAAAATAAACACTCCGTCTTAAAAAGCTATTAGAAATAATGTCTTTTACAAACTAACATTATCGCTTCGACCAAATGACGTAACATCCAAGGTTCATCCTAACATCGTGTAAAAATTGAACTGCACCAACTACGGGAAGTATTACTTTTAACAAAATGGATATCTCTATCACATTCACGAAAATACGTTAGCCGTTAAATTGCAAGATATGTTATTCTCTATGTCAATATAAATATAAAATTATAGACAATAATAAGACTTGTCTACGCAAGATAATCAATGTCCATTGGTCGGATACCATAAGCAACAACCTACTATGAGAGAGAACAAATCAGCTTCCAACTGAAAAGGAAATTAGAAGACGTTGAAAGTGGATAGGACATACACATCAAACTGCATCACGAAGCAAGCACTAACTTGGAATCCTGAAGGGAGAAGGAAAAGAGGAAGACCAAGAAACACACTTCGTCGAGAATTCAAAGCAGACATGAAAAGGATGAATAGCAACGAGAAAGAACTGTAAAGGATTGCCCAGGACAGAGTTCGATAGAGAATGCTAGTGGGCGGCCTATGCTCCTACACGACGGGTAACAAGCGTAAGTAAGCAATATGAATTGGAAATTGTTCCAACTTAGGGTTAAATTAAATTTGGAATCAACAGATAAATTGACATGTAATCTTCCCTATCATGGTCATAAATTAACCCACAAAAATAGTGAAAATGCACAACCACAAGAACAGAACAAAGCTTCTAGAATGATAACGGAACGAATACTGTGGGAGTTGCAAGTGGATTTCAGAATTATGATTAATTATCATTTTGCTTTATAACTCCTAGTGAGTAATTAGTTTACATATATGTCTATCCCATTTATCGTAAGTTTTCAATTAACCCATTAACTACGGTTATGAGATTTGTTCTCCTTAACTTGTTATCAGTCAACTACTTACAGTCTCCCTTGATGATAGCCACATTTGGCTTGCTTATGTATAATTTTAATTTAGTATTTTATAGGTATCAATATCAAGGTTGGACTTGGCAGTTTCAAGTAAATTGATAACTATGCAGAGTTAATAATAAATACATTGTTTTCGTTATAGCCCAATGAGTAGAAAAAATGTATTTCTGACGTTTCGTGACTTAATGTAAGCCACTTCTTCAGAGTAAATAAATAACCGGATTAAGTTAACATGAGTTTAAACTTATCCGTCTGTTGTATATATATATATATATATATATATATATATATATATATATATATATATATATATATAAGCTTAAACCTACAACCATACACTTAGTTGCATAGTCTTATGAACGTCAGTTACAATCGGAGCATGAGGTCCATGCCAAAAGAACTTTGAACAAAATAGTTTCCAAACAATCTACTGTAAATAATTTATTTAAAATACTTAGTTGTTTTTAGCGTGCACAAATGATTATTTAGATTTAAAGAAAGCATGTATGATTGGAATGGTAATCAATGTTAGATATTTCAATTAGGACAGTCCTTCATTAAAAAAAAGCGCTTAGCCTTACTAATTAGTCGTTAAAATCTAGATAACTGCCGACAAAATAGACAGGCTAATCAAATGGTCGTATATATGGTCAATATGCATTTTCATTGTAATCTATAACTGTCTTAAATTACCTTGTTAATTACAGAAAGTAATGTAACCAATATCACAGTGATAAAACCATTGATTCTGAGAAATTACAGAGTTACACTAATCAATAATCAAAGTTTAAACATGAATACTTATAAAAGTTCTTTCTTAATTAGTCGAATAATGAGATTTTGCAAACTATGCCGACAATCTCCCAATCTACATAGAATACAATCATTTGAATCTCTGGTCTCGAAATTAAGGTGATTGGATCAGCATAACTTTGTAATTTATCTGCTACTAGAAAAAGTAACATTAGTTATTCTTGAATGACTGATTAATGTACTTGGTCGGTCGCAACCGAAATTATATATCTGACAGTTGTATAGCATAGTCTAATTAAAGTTATGCATACAATCTATAGACTTGTCATTGATCACAACTGCAAGGTCGAGAGAAAGTCAATTACAAATGCTAAATAGAAATGTAGGCAAAAATAAGAACTCTCACGCTCCTCATTTTGAGGTGAGACACTTTTGGAAAACATAGAAATAGAATATATCCACACAGTAGCTTGTGTTATATCATAAGTACCTAAGTTATTTCAATTAGTCCATGATTATTATTATTATACCAGATCACCTACTTAATGGATCTCTAGAAATCACGTGATAAACGTCTCATTTTCGTAATTTTATTATGGAAATTTGAACTTCTCATTTTCGCGTCAAAAAGCGCCCACTTTTATCTTCAGTTTGTAGCTCCCAATTGGTAGGACCTTAAATGTTATTGAATCGTTTTCTACCTTAGTGCGCTACTTTGTGACGTTTTCCAAATACATCTCCGTAATGTATATATGAGCATGAGTTGAGAGCCTGTTGGTTCGCGCTTCCAACTGCTTGTGGGATATACACTGCGCTCGGATGAGCCTGGTCCTCTCCCCCTAGTTAGCAGGGCTGAGGCGCAGTGGGATAGTTTAGCTTGTCCTGTTGTTGTGTTGCTGCCTTTAGTTCTGTTTGCCGGTTCTATGCGATATAGTAATTCCTTCAAACGTAGCAGCAGCCACGAAGCTGCTGCAACCATGGATCCTCAGAAAGTAGAATTATTGCTGGATGCTGGCAGATACGAAAATTACACCAACATAATACACTTATTCCTACTACTGAATTGTCAATTGATGGTATTACAAACAGTATTGCCGAATTTCATTGCAATCTAGATGCTAATGTTAATTTTGACATGTGGTTTCAGCGTTCTGACGATTTATTTAAGTTTGATTTCGCCAATCAAGAAGATTCTTGGAAGGTTCGGTAGCTACTTCCGAAATTGGGTCCAAATAAGTTAGATAGATACTGAAATTTGATTTTGTCACAGAACTTACGTGACCGCTCATTTCCT